ACACAGTTCTGTCGATTGTCTTCTTCTATTTCATCTTTAACCTTCATCAGTGATGAGCGTAAGGTGTTAGTTGCACGAAAATCCACTCTTATGTCATGATTGATACGGATTCGCTTTATCTCATTTGATACTTCTTTGCTTTAAGGAATCACCAGTACAGTACTGATCAATTTCTTAGCAACATGTTTCGATTCATCTGTATCTTCACACTTTTACATATTAAAAAAAAATAAAAGCTTTGGGATAACTCGGCGCCCAATTATTTTGGAGCTATTCGATCAAATCTTGACCGCAGTTTTTTCTTTAGAAATTTATTGAAACCCATGGAATCCGACTTTCCCAACCTTTATGTGGATAATTCACCATTACGTCCCGTCTATGTCAGTGTGTAACTCTCCTGTACATGGATTGGTAAAATATGGTTAGCTGACGTTTTAAGCCCAGCGCATAGTGAATTATGTAAATTCTTTTTGAAAGATAGCCACTATTTGAACTTGTTGATTGACTTGTAGACGAGTTGATCGCTGACGAAATCTCAGATCAGATACAAAAGTCTTGTTTCGTATATGCCAGTTTACACCGTCTCTGGCGTAGAAGTGATATCCAGCTATACACCAATGGGCGTATGTGCTGCTCAACAGTCCGCTCCGTCCTCGTCTGTGCCTGTGAAACGTGGTCATTGAGACTGGAAGACATGAAAAGTCATGCTGGCTACCTGCGTTATATCTCCCATGTGAAGTGGTATAATTGGGTGAGCAATATTGATGTGAGGCATAGGTCGAGTTCTAAGTAGGGAATGAGGAGGGGAAATCAATCAACAATGAGGTTGTGAAGCAGTTACATCGATTGAGATGGATGATTAAGGCATTTGTTGCTCATGCATGCCTAGCTATCACATTCCTCGACCGACAGGCGATGTTAACTGACTGACACAGGGTGGATTAGGTTGGAAAAGACTTAGCTAGTGGTGGTCAAACCTAAACATGACTTCATCAGTCAATGAAATCCATTACAGCTAGTTTTAGCCACACACGTAGACATGTATGGCTGCCTGGTTGGGGTCCTCGGGATGGTAAGCACCATTGAAGGCTGGAGATCATTAGTGACATGGTTCAAAATCGTTCTTTTTTATCTTTTGATTACAGCTGGATTCCACACTGTATTTTTGGTACAAGTATAGAATTTTCAGCATGGATATCGGTAGCCCAAATTTTTCAGGCCGACCATAGATATCAGATGTGCGTCGGTAGGGGATCGAACCTCGGACCATGTGCATGGTCGGCGAGAGTCCTAACCACTGTGCCACCGACGCACAGTGGTGCTGTTGCATTCACTCTTTGTGATTTATTCTTCTGTATTACTATTCTTTTTGCCTCACACATCTGTTCATTATCTCTCTTTTGAATTCCTTTTTACTCTGTCCTGCTTTGTTGTGGTACATGGACGGAGTGTAGTGATGCTGCACATCTGTACAAAGTTCTACGTTGAAACGAGTCAGTCAGTCAAGGTGTGTAGCATATCAGTGGAAGGGGGGTAGTAGGTGGGCGTTAGAATCAGTCAGTAACAATAATTGCTCACGGTCGCGAATAAATCATGTAGCGGTTTGTTTTTTACTGGAGTGAAAACCCGAAGTATTCATTCTTAAACTCAGTGACAATTCTCTCTGCGAATACGCTCATAATTCTTAACAAGACTTCAGTCTGAATTTCACTCACAAGTGCATAGTTAGTGTGTGTGTGTGTGTGCATGTGTGTAATCAACCTGGATAAATCAATTGTAGCTAGTCACTGGCTAATGCTCGAAATCATAGGTAAACACTAGTAAAATTGGAGAAAATTTATGCGTCAGGGGTTTAGCGGTAGAATCTCCTCCAACCACGCACAAGTTTTGATGGGGGGGGGGGGAGGATTTGTTTCCTCGCCGGCGCATGCACCTTTACTCTTACTCTAGCCAATCGTAACCTCGGCAGTGGGGAGAGGTTGGGCGTGAGACCAGCAACCCGCCCCCCCACCCTGTAAAAATAAAACTGTTGCTACTGAAGCTTTGAAGCTCGCGCTTGAAGGCCTATGTTCCACTCGGAACGCACAGGCATAAAATAAATAATTACGAATTTCTGAACAATGGAGGTAACACGAGTTGGTTAGTTCCACACTTCAGTAGGTAGAAGGGTGGGGGTAGGGCGACGGTATGAATTAGTCATATCCAATAAAACTCCACTATTGTTCCTCCATATTACTTTTGTTTTTTGCCCTCATTCACACTTCTGTTTATTATCTCTCTCTCTCTCTTTATTTACTCTCTTCCCTTGCTTTGTGTAGTACATGGAGGAGGCAGTGTGACGACTGGAACTGCTGCACATCTGTGAAAACTGGTCAGTCAGACAGTAGTTTGACCTCATCGTGGCTCGTTGGTTGGATGCTGAATTTCTAGTCCAGTATAGACTATCAGCACACCATCAGACTGATTGTCATAAAACATTTATGCCTAGATGTTTACTTTAATTTCTTAAAGAATGGTTACTGAACAAAGAATATTCTTTACGATAACCCCTTCTCCATCAGATTCTACAGTTATGTATGCTTCTTCAAGAATTGAAAACATTTATTTCCCGATACGAATTTAAAACAAGCAATAAAGGTTAATAAAGCAGGATTTAATGAATTCATCAAATGAATTGATGAATTCATTAAATCCTGCTTTATTAACCTTTATTGCTTGTTTTAAGTTATGTATGCATCCATCAATAATAGTGAATGAATTAGTGTTATTAACCATATTACTGTTGTTTAAATAACATCGAATCAATTATAATAATAATACCAGTGGATTACAGTTCGACAGCATCAACATACAACAATACATTGAATTAATATCACACAAATTAGGAGAAATAACAATACAAATTCATGAATTTATAGTCTCCACTGAAGGCGGCTGGCCAAGCTACCAATAGTAGTGGCTGGCTTGACCTGTTTCTTTTTACACACAGAGCTCTGGTTGTTTCAGGCGGATTACAATAGCCTCTGCTGATTGGAGTATCCAGTATCTGGATGTTTTTGGCAACCTATTTTGTATCAGGTAGATGATGATGATGATGATGATGATGGAGAAGGATTCTTCAATTCTGGCTTTGTGGCAGGTTTGGACCAGGTGATCTAATATCGAACAGTTGGTGGTTTTTGTTACACTGGTAGGTGTTACTAAGCCCGCTCAAAAAATCAAGTTCTTAAGGCAACAACGGTCAACATAACTCGCTTCGCCACAAGTGCAGTAGAATTGGTAGATACATTTGTAGAGGTGGCTAGTTCTAGTTCTAGGTACTTTGTCTTTCAATCGAGGAACCGCCACCGGTCGGTCATGTAGGAAGATATGACTTTTAGTTTACCAGCATTAAATGATTTTTGAACTGATTTTCTTAACTTCTTCGTAATTATTTCACCAGGTATATCGGCCTTGAATTGCAGTCGTATGCATAAAGACTTCTTGTTTACGGATATAGAAGACTAGTCAACTTTTCAACTTTTACAGTCATATGTTTCCTGATGAATTTTTCTATATAGCTATTTTCAACCAAGGTACCATATACAATGCTTAATTCATCTTCAGTTACTTCTTCTAAGCATATAGCTCTAAACATATGATAGAATGAGGGTCCTTATTAAATTTCTTTTGTACTGGAGAGGAACTAGGCGAAGACGCTGAAAAAATGCAGAGTCTTCTAAACACCTTGAGCCGTAATCTACGAATGTTTGGCATGCGATTCGCTCCCGCCAAATGCAAGATGATGTTACAGGACTGAACTACATCGACGCCTAGTTTAAAAATAGGAAGTGAAGTGGTAGAGCACGTTGACCGCTTCACTTATTTGGGAAGTACCATCAGCCAGCGCCAACGGGTTGATCTCTGACGAAATCTCAGCACGAATACAGGGGGCTCGTTTCGCATTTGCCAGTTTACGCCGACTCTGGAGTAGACGAGATGTTCGACTATCGACCAAAGGGCGGGTGTACTGCTCATCAGTCCGCTCCGTCCTCCTTTATGGTTGTGAGACCTGGCCACTGAGAGTGGAAGACATGAAAAGACTAGCTGTCTTTGATCATAGGTGCCTGCGCTCTATTTCCCGTGTGAAGTGGTATAATAAGGTGAGCAACATTGAGGTTAGACGTTGGTCGAGTTCTAGGTAAAGAGGGGAAATCAATCGACGAAGTCGTGAAGCTACAAAGACTGAGATGGTTAGGACATGTGTTACGAATAAATGTCAAGTCATGGCTTTCCTCGACGAGCAATGTTAGCGGCTGGAAAAAAGCTAGCGGTGGTCAAACAAAAACTTGGCACCAGTCAATGAAATCCACAACAGTTGGTCTAAGCCACGTAGAAAGGTGTAGACTTCCAGGCTGGGGTCCTCGGGACGGTAAAAATCTATGGTTGGAAACAATTGGTGACATGGCTCAAAATCGTTCTCAATGGCTGGTGCGGATGCATCCACTCCTTGTGACTTATGATCTCCAATGAAACTGTTTTGTTCTTCGTTATTACTCCTCCTTTGTCTCACACCTCTGCTCACTGTCTCTATTGTGCTTTTCTTGTACTTTCTTCTCTTGCTTTGTGTGGTACATGGGGGGAGTGTGGCGACTTGAACTGGTGCACATCGAGTGCAAAGTTCTATGTCGAAAACAGACAGACAGGAGAGGAACAAAGCTATAAAAAATGTGTATATTGTCCTGTCCATGTGCTTTTCCTATGTATGCAAATATCTCTTTATACTACCATCTGGTTTTCTTGTACGAAGGACATCTTGCAAGGCAATTAATTCTTACTTTGGGATTCCTCTTCACACGTACGTGAATTTCTTAGTGGAGAATGCACTTCACTGAAATTGAGTTAACTGTTCAAATTTTAAATTCATATGAAGTGTGTGTGTGTGTGTGTGTAATATATTGTGTGTATAGTCAGTTATTATAGCTAATCGACCCGTTTGTTTTACCCTTTTCTAATTTTAGACAATTTCTCCAGACTTATTGACTGACCTAGTGCAATTTTTTTTGTCTTAAATCTATTTGATGTGGATACGATTCTCGTTAAGACATCATCGTCATCGTTATCATCACTTTTTTAGAAATTACCTTCAACGAAATATGCATATGAATCAGTCACAAGGAAATCTCAGCGGTCTTTCATCAAATCTTGTCTTTCCATATCTTCTTGTGAGTCCAGTGACTCCTCCTCCTCTTTCTCCTTCCACTACTCCTGCTGGGGGTACTAATCAAGAATGCAAGAAATTGTATGCAGAATTATTTATCCCTCTGATTGTCTCAAATTCTTCAATTGTTCCTACTGACAATCAAGGAGGAGATTGCAAACAAAGACGCTACTGTTTCGAGCGTCCAATTCACGAGACTCTGTCAGGATTTTTATCCAACTTAGTGTCGACAATAAATTCACGATATTTGAAAGGAAATTGTCCAACCGTCAATCAAGATACAGTTTATTTAGCTACACAAGCTGATCTACTATTACTTCATAAAAGTGCTAAAGACTCGAACACTTCGATGACAGAATTCAACAAAGCGAAAACTCTTGAAGATTGTTTCCTATCTGATTGGTGTACAGAAGAAATATTATTACAAATCAATTTCTGTGTGCGTAATAATCCTGAGAAAACTACCAGTTTAGTGTATCAAGTTCAAAGGAATCCAGCACGCATGTTTCGTTGTCGATTGAGTACCATTCCAATGGTGGGTTATCCTATGCTGCCGTGTATTGAAGGCGAAAATATTTGCTTAACAAAGTCTGAATTTCTATGGTTTGTTGGACAGGTAATTCATTGATTATTTCTACCCTCTCAATTCTCTCTTGGTTTTTAACATTTTGTTTGTTTTGTGTGTTTCAGTGCCTGACTGGCTTGGCTGGTTTCAACGTAGAACTTTGCACATAGAGAAGTACAACACAGTGTTCGCAGTTGCCTTACTTCATATAGGGTTTTATTAAATATGGGCGATTACATCGAGGACGATTTTGAGTGATATCACCATTGCTGTTTAGAATCTCAACGACCCAAATTAGACAGAGGTAGTCTACCCCTCTCTAGGTGGACTGGCTGGCTCCAACAAACTGTTAAAGACTTCATGAATTGACTCCATGGTTTGTTTGGATCATCTATTCTACACAGTTGGAGATGATTGGTCCCGTGGATTTTTATTAGGATACTTCTGAACCAAACTCATTTTGTTGTTTAACTGAATTTTAGATTTCCCCGTTGATTGTTTGGACCGAAATGCTCGGTCTCAGGATGACATGTCGGCTTCTTATGCAGATGCTTCGACGATGTCTGGGCATGCACATCCAATCGATGAGTCCCGAATAGGACGAAATGAGCGTCCTGGATTCCACTGCTAGTCACCATCGATCAGTTAAATGCCCGGACATCGTCGAAGCATGTGCACAAGAAGCCGACATATCAACCTGAGATCGGGCACTTCGATCCAGTCAGTCGACGGGAAAATCTAAAATTCAGTTAAATAATTAGTATGACTTGTTGCACAAGAGGTGGCTCTCGTGGTCTAGTGGATAACGCTTTGGCTTTTGAAACTATGGGCACCGGGTTCGTACCTTGGTGGGAACATCATCACTCACTGGGGAATGCAGGCACATTCAGATGACAAGTCCCAAATAGGTTGAAACGCGCATCTTGACTGTATTCTACTGTTAGTTATCATCCACCAATTAAATTTGTTGTAACAAATAGGTGTGGCGGTTGCAGTAAGTCTATCACAGACTGGCAGAAGTTGGAATTCACGAACCTGCGAGTCGGGTCCCAGTGGCTTAATGATCTACGAGCTCGCCCCGTAACTGGAAGGTCCTAGGTTCGAATCCCCTGTGGCGAGTGCGTGCTTCCGGACAGTCGCAAACTAGGGCAAAACAACTGTCCACTACTTCCAGCTGATTTTCCATTGGTTCTCTAATTGATGTCAGCTCAGGATAAAACCTGTAACCGATCGAATCTTTGCAAGCTAACACTTGATAAATAGGTATTTCTTCATGTGGTTCCTATCACAGATCAATTTTCGGCTTTTTCGGTTGACTGATCGTGATAGACGAAAATGTGATGCATAACTGTATGATCACCGAATTGTATAACCACTCAGTAAAGCAGCTTAGTGTAAATCCTGAAACTGGTTTGGTGCCTGCAGTGATAATGATAAACTATTGAGTTAAGTCGAATCCTCATCTCTGGCTCTACTCTAATATACACCTATAACGTTTTTAATACAACACAATCTGTGGGGTAAACCAGGTGTGAGGGTATACCCGTCCGACAACTGCTACCTTGTGATGGTTGTCAGGCTTGAATGCCGCCGTGATCCAACAGGCTACACTAGCTGAGACTTATGATCCTACAGATTCCACCGTGCCAGAAAGGTTTTTTGGAAAGCACAGAGGCTAAAAGCAGTTATTATGAGGTACATGGGCTCCAGAATCCAAACAGGATTGAATAGCTAATGAACCTGTATTGATCACTGGCAACCACGGGAACGTAGCTGCTGATGCTGCTCCGCTGCCTTGAGTATGAGACTCTAAGTAAAAGAGTTTGGGGATGGTCTCTTAAGAGACAATCGCCTGCTTCTCTCTGAGCGACCGGGCAGTATCCCAGTCCTTGCAGTAGCAATCAAACAACAAATGAACTCGTCGCCAGTATCTTATGGTGTCGTTGCCAATATTATGGTGTGACCGAGTGTGAAAATATGCGCTAATGAGATATAACGGACGATAACTTACAGACTGGTATTGTTGAGTAGTTAATTTGTCCTGACGCGAACAGGCAAATCAGAAGACCACCACGTTCACGAGTGGATACGTGTATTTTCCAACAAAGGAAAATTAACTGTCACACACAAGAGTGTGAGTGAAAAAGTACGAAAGTGTACGAAAGGTGTGAACGAACATGTGTGTATTAACTGTACAATACAAGAGTATATATGAAAATAACCAACACACATGAACCAATAAGACAGATAGTTTTTCTTACCACCATTGGATTCTGATAGGTTGTAATGTCACGTGACAAAAGGTCATATATTGTTTATTTTAGTTAATGGGCGGACAAAATATATTGTGAGTTATAATGGGATAATGATCAACATACGTTTGGCAAAATATACCAGACTGTCAAAACAAAGCAGACTACATATCAGATGAGGATCGGGTTTCAGTGGTTGAGAATGGTCTACGAGCTCGCTCGCCTTGTAACCTGAATGTCCCGGGTTCGAACCTCAAAAGGTACATACTACTGAGGAGTCCCAGACTAGTACGAAACATATGTCCAGTACTCTCGACTGCTTTTCCAATAGTTTTCTAACCGATGTCAGCTCATGATGAAATCCTGTAAAGTAATATCAGTTAGAATTTGACAATTAACTTTCAATGCTGTATTAATATCAACTTTATGCCTATTGTTTACGGGGTGTACTAAAACAGAACTATGAATAGATAGATCTTGTTTGTCCCTTGCTCAACCACTATGCAAGATGATGTTTGGAAATAGGATGACAAACCTGCCTTATTGTTATGCCCAATATAACTAGCTCCAATAGGAACAGTGGCACTGGTAGATATGCATAGAGGAGGAGGAGGTGGAGGCGAAATTAGGTAGTTTGTCCTCATTTCTGGCACACTTGTTTGCGTGCAGTGCGTCGGTGTCATAGCGGTTAGGACGCTCGCCGACTATGCACATGGTCCGGGGTTCGATCCCCGGCCGACGCACTCCTTTACCTCGCTAGGCCAAAAATAATGCTGGTAAAGAGGAAAGGTTGGGCATGGGGCTAGCAACCCCATCCTGTAAAATTAAACACTGCTACAGAAACTTCAAGGCACTAGCTTGAGGCCCTATGTTCCAGTGGGAACGTGAAGGAAAAAAAATATATGTTTGCGTGTAGATTAGGCTTTCGGTAACCAGTAGGGTCCAGGAATGCTCACTGTCCCTATATCTGTTTAATTTCATCATATAAATGTACTAATGGACTCAACTCTAATTGCCTACAACGACTCAGGGATTGACTTGTTACCACAAAGGAGAATAATCTCGTTGACTTCGAATATGCAGACAATATAGCCCTTCTAGGTGAGGACTCTGGTAAAATAGAGCAGAGTCTTCTGAACACCTTGAGCTTGAGCAGCAATCTTCGAATGTTTGGCATGCGATTCGCTACTGCTTTCAAATGTCAGATGATGCTACATGACTGGAATAGACTGGACTACATCGACTACTCCTAAATTAAAAATAGACAGGCAAGTGTGAAGTGGTGTGGGGCTGACCGTGTTGACCACTTCACTTATTCGGGGACTTGTATCAGCCCCAATGGGCTGATTGGTGACGAAATCTCACTACGGGTACAGGGGGGGCAGTATAGGATTTACCAATTCACTCCATCTCTGGCTTTGTAGATGTGGTATCCGGTCGGCTACTGATCAGAGGACTTGTGTGTATTGAGGACCAGTTCACTCCATTCTCCTTTGTAGCAGTAAGATATGGACATTGAAATTAAAAGAGATGAAAAGGTTTGATCATACGTGTGTTGCGTAATATGATAGATTGAGTATTGTTGAAATTAAACATAGAGTGTTAGGTATGGAGGGAAAGTCAGTCGACGAAGTTGTGAAGGTGAGTCGATTGAGATGGCCAATATTATTCCCTAGACCGCTTTGGCCACGAGAGCCACCTCTTGTGCAACTGGTCATACTAATTATTTAATTCAATTTAAGATTTTCCCGTCGATGGATTTCACCAAAGACCTGTTGTACAAGAGGTGGCTTCGTGGCTCAAGTGGTATATTGGACAAAATTTTGGCGTTTGAAATTATGGGTACTGGGAACACTTCCACTCACTGGGGTCCGCAGGTATATCCAGATGACGAGTTCGAAATATGACGAAATGCGCATCTTGACTGTATTCCACTGCTAGTCACCATCCATCAGTTCACGTGACCAGACATCGTAGGGGCCTCTGCGCAAGGAGCCGACATGTCAACCCGAGACCGAGCACAGTCCAATCAGT